AAAACATGTCAACTACCATCTGTTGGATGCCAGTAGCACCTTTCCTTTACATTTTGCAAGCTTATTTTTAAACAGAGAAATATTTCTACACCAGACCAGCAGTTCTACAGCCCAATCCATTCCCTCCAGACCTGCCTGCTGAACCAAGGAGAGAAGTCATGTGCTGATTGTCTCTCTCACTCTGAAGGTGTCTATCTTTTGAACACATTTCATCCTTCTTTGGGCAAATGGGAGCTCTGTGAAACAGCTGCAGGGAGCCAAAATGCTTTGCCTTCAAAGTGTGTGCTCAGTACGAGGTGTCAGCTTATAGTTACTGTGATGGGTTAGTTCTAAAATGAACCATCCTTCAGTCCCCCAAAACCCACACTGAAGAAAGCATTGCTGCCACTTGTTTAAAATGGGATTAAAGTTCTAAAGAAAAAGACCCTAAAGGACTTAACAACCATGTAACTAGTTGGAAGAGTAAAATAAATCCATAAAGAGCACTCTTGCAGGAGTAGAGATCAGACACACCACATCACCACAGCCCCAGGGGACAGTGGTGGGAGGAAACTCAGCTCTAAAATCATCCTGCCCATCATACCCACCCATGAAGCTTTGTTTTTGCTGCATGCAAGAGACAGTGTTGGCCCTTGCAGAACACACAGCAGCCAGTCTGTGGCCGCCTGTTGTTCTGCACCAGAACATCACAGAGCCTCTCTGCAGGACAGCACTTGTAAATAAGCTCCCTACAGCTTGCTTAAAAGGCTCTGCTATTGCACTACTGTGAGACTATCCACAGCTGTAACATACTGTGAATTTCCCAGTGGAGAGGCTGTGCAGCAGGAATCTTGCTGTTTCTCCACCAGCTGTCTGGGAAAATATGTAATTTTTTTCCCTTAGACTTGTGCATTTATTTCAAGATGGGGTAGTCCATTGGCTGATCACAATGAACCACTGCACACTGACTGAGGAATTGTTCTGTTCCCTCCTGACAACAGGTCAGAGATGGGAATATCAGAATGAGCTGGGCTCCACCCTGCATGAACATTTCCTGCCAGTGATAAATCCATCACAGAGCACTCTCATATTCATTGACACCACATCCCCCCTTAGCTGCTGAACAGATAAACCAGCCATGACAACTAGATCCTAACTGTATTTCTTCAAGCAAGGAAGGTCTCAGCAGTAATAGTATTGTTCTTTTATTCAGAGAGATGATAGTTGCTTTATTTTAGCCTGATTTCCTAGAGACATGAGGCTTATTAAAACATCAGTCTCCACATAGGCACTCTTGATCAAATCTGAGGGAAAATGTGTTCAAATGTTTTTACATATGTCACAAGAAGTAGTTGGTAAGGTGAAGAAAGACCTTAAGCATACCTTAGCTGTGAAAAAAGCTGAAGTGCAATGATTATCTTTTCCAAATACCAAAGGATTCACAATAGAGAGGCTTTAATTGTGTCTTATTAGGAGAAGGCCCTAAATCAGTATCAGTAACTTCAGAGATTCTGCAACCAACAAAACCAAACAAATCCATAGGAAGTCAGGTTTCTCTGTCTCATGTTCACAGCATTATTGTGTGATACCTGCATTCACAGTCCATCTGCCTTCCAAATCTCATCTCCTATTTTCTCTGTGTTTAAGCAGTGCTCACTCAGGCTTAGGGCACGAGGCTGTGACTAGGCAGTAACTGACTGCAAGACACATTGTCAAGTTACATGCAGAATAATTTGGAAAGAAATTAAATTTGACAGTGGCTCAGAGCAAGGACTCAGCTCTAGGGACATACATCCAGGCTGTCCTGGGAAACAGCCTCAAGGGACACACAGGGTGACTCCCAAAATCTGTCCTGATACCACCTCAGTGAGGAATTGGACTGAAAAAGCCCAGCTGTGCTATTGCCTTAAAGCTCTGGAATTTAGTAAATCTGATTTGCTGATTTCAGAATTCTGTGATCCCCTTGTGCATGGGGATGGGCCCCAATTTATACGTTAGTGAGAGATGGGGCTGCAGGAGGTACAGAACCCCAAGGGATAACATGAGTTTGCTCAGTCACAACCTGCCCTATGTGGGCAGTGCACTTAAGTCACAGAAGGATAAGTTGCATATTCACTAGGATATACTTGTGTGCCTGCCTTCTTTCCCTCACACACACTCAGAGGGAGTGTGTGTGAGGGAAATGCATCCTGTATCTCATGGTATATAAAAATTGTTCATACCTTTCTTGCCCTGGTAGCCATGTGCTACAATGCAGAGATGTGATTCATCTCCTCCTGAGTAACTGATGGCTCCCTTGTTCTGTTTTACTGTACAGGTACAGAGCATGTCATCTCCCCTCACAGCTTCATAGTGGCATTTCTCCAGCTGCATCTGAATTGTTGTACTATCGCCCTGAAATTACTTTTTCCTCAGGATACATTAGCTCCTTAGACAGCGATAAACTGGCTTAATTTTCTTGACTCACACCCTGAGAGCTCAAGTGCACACACCCCCCTCTCAGATACCTCAGCATAATTAAAATGAAACAAACTGCAAAATCTGAGCCCACTTTCTTCAGCATTTACAACAGTTGTCCTTCCCTCAGTTTAAAACACCACCAGCATCAGGTAATTAGTCATTTCAGGTTTTTAAGTTCAAGTTGTTTATCTAATGAAGGAAAAACCAACTGACAGAAATCGCTCCCCACCCAGTCATTTCCAAGATTTCCAGGTAGACCACAAACTCATTAGGAGACAAGTACATGAAGCACAGGCAGGGATCAGCAGAAAGGTGATGTAGCATTAATTAACAGTCTAGCCAAATGCCTGGGTGGAATAGCCTGAGCCTCCAGCATCCAGAAACCCGCCAGGTTTCCCTGAGGAAGAACCAGAGAGCTTGGCTTTAAGCAGGTACAGGAGGGTCTCTGTGAGGTATATTTACACCAGTGTGCTACCAGCTCTGTTCTTCTGCAGCTTAGTGTCTGCCTGTGCTTTATGCAAACAATTAAAAACACCCACAGGACCATTAGTGGGGAGCTTGAAACAAAAATTTGAAGGTTTTGCATTAATGAGCAATCGTGTTTATCAGAGAAGAAAAAACCTAAATGCATTTGCATTGTGTGCAGATGCCCTCTAGTCTCAAGACCCATCACACAAACATTCACAATAGGAGTACAATCAGCTTTTCTTAAATTTACTTGGCTGTCTCAGCAGAAATTACAAGTTACCAACACAGAAAACATATTTGAGTTTTTTAAATAATGACAGATGCTCTTTGTTGCAGGTCTGAAAAAATCACAATCCCCAGTTCCAAACCATTCTTCTAGTGAAGATTTCCAGCCACAAATTCTTTGTTCCAAATGTCACTGAAACATCTAATCTGTACTGACTTTAATCCCTTTAGCACCATGACTTTTCTAGCAGTGTATGTGACAAATAGCCTCTAAGGAAATAAACATTTCGATTTTTAATGGATTATGGTGTGATTACCATGTTGTTGCTTTGGTGGTTTTTTTTTTTTAATAAGAATAATATGTAAGAATGAGAGTTGCTTATTTTCCAGCTATTGGCAACATCTTACAAGCTGCATGTACGTGGCATCATCCTTCCTTAGGCTGCTTAGAGCCAGAACAGAGGCTACATCCTCCCCAATAACCAGCACCCACCACAATCTTCATCAGACCTGGTGAAGGAAAGACTTCTTCCCTGCTGTTAAATGGCACATTGTAACACACTGTGGCATTTTGCACCTTGTTTGGAGTTTGGTCAGCCGTGGAGACAGGATAATCCACTTCCCAGCGCCGTGGTTATAGGGGGATGTTACACTCACACACAGACACACACACATCTCCTTTGCAAAAGTAGACTTAGGAGTGGAAGCCACCAAGAATCAGATAAACAAAAGTCACCTTGGGAAAGGGGAAAAAAACAACCACCCACTACGTACCACAAGGGAGAGGCACCTTGGGCAGACTAGACTTAGTGTGTTATTAATAAGAGAATGTTAACATTAAGCTTAGCATTTCCTGCTGGCAGCTAGAAATAGGAACAAACAGGCAAGCAGGATGAGTCACTGGTTAAGACAAGGAAAAGATGTGATGTCATGAAAAACCTGTGAAGATTCAATTGCTGCCAGGAGCAAAATAACACCTGGCTCCTTCAGAACTCAGCTCTGATCAAAATGCTTCAGTTCAACAGATCATATTAGGCATTTTGTTTTTTCCTCTCTTGTTATTGAGTGCTTCCATTGTCCAAGAGTCACTGGAACCTACTCAGACCCATTCAGCTGCCTTGAGAGATGTTTCATTTCAGCAATATGAGGGAAAACATTTCTCATGTGAAAAAACCCAACACAAAACCCCTGCCTGTTTTGATAAAATGCTCTACCCTTGCTAAGTGCTTTTTAAACATTTCCCCATTATGGCTATCTTCACTTCTACTTTTTAGAAGCAGTAAAACCAGCAGTCTTGTATCATTTCAGTACATACCAGTTGCAGGAGTTTCCCTTTTCCTCTCCTATTTTACCTACCCTGTACAGAAAGTTCTACCACCCTGTTCTCTCTAACATTCCCACACTAACTGCTCGTAATGCAGAGGAGAAAATTTTTTTGGAAAGAGACTTTTAGTGCATGTAGAGTCTTCAAGAGCTCACCAGTCATCAAGGCCTTGGTCATGCCCAACACACAGGCTTTTAAAATTGTTCCCTGTAACTCAGTGGCTAAGTATCTCTTCAGGTGAGGCACTGCACTTACTTTTCAAAGTTCTTTTGTAAAATAAGCTTATGAACAAGCAAAAAAAGCTACTATGGATTGACCTAATCCACCATTAAAATATTTCTGGCAGTAAGGAAGACCCTGCACTTTTAAGTTTTATCAGCAACTCCACACCATGTAAGAAAAAATGTGAATCACTGAAAATGCAACAGGGTGCATTTGCTCAGGAGAATGTAATTCCCATACTGGAATCAGGCCAAGGTACTGTGATTGACACTACTGCTCATGACCTGCTAAGATGTTAAAAATGTTATTTCCATTTTCCCAGGTGTCTTGAGATTGTAGTGAAGATTAGTATCAGTTGCCTTTCCTGATCTGTCAGAAGGTAAGGAGGACTGGAACAGGACTGGCTTGCCTATGAACCTTATCTGCTCTTATCATTTTCTAAATTGAGTTTTTCTGTTAAAGTATTTAAAAGACAGTGGCTGGAAAAGTGAAATCACATAGAGAGATATACACAAAGATTAAGTTCATTGGGCACATTTCCTAAATCTCATAAGAATTCAAAATTTTTTTTTCATTACTTAAAACTAACATGAAGATAAGTCTCATATTGTTGATTCTTTCTGATTCAGCTATCTTGATTGAAAAATAAAGAAATGGCAGTGATAAAAATCTGTAGCATCCACACCACATGCCTATTTCAAATTCCATTTCTTTAGCTCCAAATAAACAGCAAACAAAGTTCAAGAGGCATATGATGCATTTGAAAGCCCATCCACTGTGGGCAAGTGATAAAACCATCACTGATACGATAAAAAAAAAACGAAACCAGAAACATCTAGGAGGCTGATATCCCAGAGCAAGTAGCATTTTGGGCAGTGGATGCATTATTATGGAATATGTTGCCAGTTTTGCTAGATCTTTTTCTTTTTCCCACGTATATCCCTTAATTCTGTAAATCAGCCGCTGTAAGAACAGCTGAACAGCACACAGGTGCCTGAGCAGGGTTAGCCACTGCAGGAGGCAGGCAGGGAGCTGGAGCCCATGCCATGGAAACCAGCGGGGCAGAGCCGCGGCTCCGGCCGGGCGCTGGGACGCACACGGTGGCAGGACCTGGGGACGGTGCCCGGCCCTGGGCAAGGTCCTTAACTCATTTACAAAGCAATTATTTACGGAAATAAATCAATGGCTGTGTGCTGAAAGACCTGTTGCAACCCGAATTGTGGGAAAAAAAAAAAAACAACACCAACTTGGTACTCTGCTAGGAGCATCCCTCCAAGGGCTGGTTCTTATCCAGGGAAGATTCCATTTTATTCAGGAGTGGATTAAGGCTAAATCCGAGCCTCATACTTCACAAGAACCCCCTAGAGATATTATGTCAAGAGGGTCAATTCTAAGATAAAGTGCTCAGAAATTCTGGGAAGCTGTCCATGGTATTTTTGAGATTAAAATACCAAATTGAATTACAAGCATGAGTCAAGAATGTGCGCTTTAATTTGAAGGGCAGCAGCAAGACAAAAATAAAATAATCAAGCTTAATTTATATTAACAACAACATGCCAATAAAAAGAAAATACAATATTCTTTTAAGGTCTTTAAAATCCTAATGTGTAATTTTTCATGATTTGGTGGAAATTTAGAGTAGATCAGGCAATTTTTCAATTATTACCTCCCAGATTAGGAAAAAAACCCCACTGCTGTATTCAGGTGAGCATTAAACATAAAGAAGGTTCTAGCACTCAAAAAGGCAGAATGAATGCTTAAAGACAACAAAACCCAAGAGCAATCTGAACCACATAAACCATAAATGTAAATAAAAGGAAAATAAAAAAGTGCCTATCTTTCTTCAATGGAGTTTGAAATACATTTTCTAAATGCTAGAATTAACAATAACATAGATTCCTCTCATGTGTTTTTGTTTGACAGAAATGTGCAAGTACTCTTAAAAGCAATGTAATAAATAGATTTGATATATTGGTGACATGTTTAAATTCACAACAAATGTTAAAAAAAATCAAATGGAATTTGAAACTCTCCAAGTAAACCCACATCTCTGCTAAGAATATAAAGGAAGACTTTCAGCTAAAGAACAGCTATTTTGGAATAGTCCTAAGCATCTTAAAATAGCAGCTTAGAATTTAAGTGCTTTGTCAGCCACAACAGTACATCTGTGATGATGCTCAGTAATAGCACAAGACAAAGAAAATAATCTTCTACCATTTACCGTGATGTTTTCTATTATAACCACACAGATAAGATGTTAAAAGAGAAATTTGGTTGTGCAGCAGCTGCAGGTGGCTCCCAAGGCAGCCCAGCAAACACCACAGGGCAGAAGTGGTTACAGCTGATGCATTTCTAGGTGTGAGGTTCTTTTGAGCACTGTTTTAAGTTCACCCACCCTTGTGGTGATGCTCCTTTCTCTTTTCCATTTGGAAAAAAAGCCATGAGCAAATACTCCTCAACACACATGTGATGTTTTGCTGTTTCTACTGTGCTATTTTACTGATCAATTCATTGCCACCTCCCTGCTCTTGCTAAGCCCCAAACTGCCTTTGGCCAGTGGATACATCAAGGGCCTGAGTGGCTCAAACCTTCCTGATGGAAAGCACATCTTCACGTTCACCTTTTCAGAAAGACAGAGGAAAATGACAGCAGATTTCCCAGCTGAAGAAAACGTGGTGTTGGCATTATAAAAAGCAATATGCTGCTCCATGCCTCCAGGTTCACCTGTCCCCAGCCACGCACACCAGTGGGACTTTGGTCAGGCTCTCAAACACAGCCTGCTGCTTTTACTTAATAGGACCACTCAATTCAGCCCAAATATGGGGACTGATATAAAATAAGTCCTGAAGAATTGTAAAGTCCTGTCTGCATCCAGTGACCTCAGCAAAGAATCTTGCATATGCAGGAGTCCTGACTTCTCTCAAATGAGACTAAATGTCTAGATAAGAGGAACACAAGACACAGCTTTTTCCATGTGATCTGTTTCTCAAAGCACAAACCTCAGCCCAAGGAAGGGAGTCTGTAAAAAAGCTGTTAATGACAACTCCAAACTGTCTTATTTAAAGCTAATAAAAAGCCTATAAGCAACAGAGACAGCATGAGATCATATTTGTACAGAACACTAAATGTGTGCAAAGCTGTACACATCAACAAAAATACGGGGGCATCAGTCTTCATTATATTCTAGCAATTTTATACTAATATAGCTTCATAAAATAGGGAAACTGTACAGCACTACCCCAAGCAAGCAAAGGTCTATCAAACAATCTGTAATTGAAACAATCATAGTATCAAGCACAATACAAGCACAAGTTCATGCATTATGCTGCTTCCTAAATCACCCAGGCCCTCTGCCAGCAGAAAACTGAAATCAGACTCTCTGGACCTCTGGCTCAGTTCAGCAAAGGGGGCTGAACTACACTCCATTACCTCGCACTTCTGGAAACACTTCCCAGCTTAGGAATGAATTTGTAGTGTTACACTGGGAAAAACACACAATGCAATATTTATCAAATGAAAGCAGCCACCCTAGCAAGCAGTAACCTCTGGGCAGACTGTGCTCTGCTTTCATGTGCAGCTGAATGATGTGTCTGGAGAAAGTGCAACAAGTTTGGGCAACACACATTATTTACTGTGACAGAGATAAAGAAAGGGCTCTTAGGACTTGTTTTTTGTCCCACCCCTGCCCAAATCACTTCTCTGGACTGAAAGGGTGCAAAAGCAAACTTTGGAGCAAAGCATAAGCACAATTAGATGTGCCAGTGAGCAAAAGACATGTTCACTAAAGGGGACATGACTTCAGCAACAGCATAACGGCTTCAAAACATTATGAAACTACAATTAAATTAATTGCACTTTCTGCCTGCTGCTATTTTACGTTAAAGAATTGTAACTCAACAAAATTTTGGAGGCTTCAGAGCAGCAGGGGAAGCTTTCTTGTTGGCTGTCTGGAGCTTACCCTAATGCTTTATCCCAAGATTCAGGCACAGGCAATATCTGCCCATTCTGCAGAAGAGAGTGATTCCTGGTCCTTCAGTGAACAGCTGCTGTTTCATTGCTATGCTCATATCACAAACACCACCATCAGAACAACAGAGTTCAGAAAACCAAATCTATCCCCATTTAAAGCTCTAATAAAATTAATACAAAGAACTGAAAGGAAAAAACAAGTCTCTCTTTATAAGGCACCAAGACCTACTTTCTCCATCTATTTTTCCCAATGGAAATAAGTTCCCTTGACCACAGCTTTATTTTACATCTTCTGAGCCAGCTGAAAAGTAATGAAAGCCACAATAATATCCAAAACTGTTTAGATGTGTTCTTTTGCTAGTTCTTCATGTGGAGCCTGGAGGGGAAATCAAAGATTTCATCCCTGTACTACCAGGGCAAACTGAGAGCTCCCATAATTCCCAACCTCAGCCAGGCCTTTTTAGCAAACTGTGATAACATTAGAGCTCAACTCTTGCCAACACCTCCAGCTGAGAGAAGGGAATCCTAAACTCTAACCCTCAACAAGAAGTCTTTGCAATTTTTAAACAGCTCTTTCTGCCAGTCTTCCTGATGCTTAGTGACTAAAAGTTTCCTGCATTCTAGTTATCCTCATTAAGTAGGGCAAAAGTAAACATACAGCAAAGTTTTCATCCATGTTGTGTACTCTTCCTGGAGTCAAACAGTCAGGCAATAAGTATTAGATAATAAAGAAATAAAGAATAAACATTCTGTTCTAATCTCATAGTGTCCTTCCACATCACTAATGATACATCAAATCACTCTGCATTCATTAGGGCAGTTACATCAACAGGCAGCAAATATTATATAAAAACTCCTAGATAAGAACAGGCAACATGTTTACCTCCTTTTAATCAGTGAGCAGTGGAGCTGCAGTCTATCTCCTGAAATGAGATGTAAACATAACCAACCTGCACACATGCCCCCTCTTTCAAAACAGCTTATTGACACGAGCTGCAGGAACCACCTCGCATCCGCACCTGCTTCAGTGCCACATCCATGCTCTGCTCTTCAGAAAGGGGAGAGGTAGCATTTTTGTGTGGAAAGAAGAAAAACAGCAGGTATTCGAGGTGCACCTGGCAAACAAAGAGGGCAATCTCTGTGCCCATGAAACAAAATGGGATGGATGAAACTAGAAATAGACTGGGACTTTCCTGGAGGGAATGGGATCCGTCACTTCAGGGAAGGAGACATCTTGTCATGGTTGAGGAATAACGGACAAACTGAAATGAGCCAAAAGAAGAGCAAAAAAAAAGATGATGGGAAAGCTGGCTCATCATAAACTGTTGGAAAGATGAGCTGTATTTGGGTGAGTTAAGTACAACAATCATCCCAGGATGTTACAAGGCTTATTTCAAAAAAGGCAAAACA